AAATTACGAAGAAACTGTGCGGTCGATCTTGACGAAAAACAATTCAGCACGATCGCCAACTGAAAACTTTCGATCAGTTTTTGAATTTTTAAAATTGATTCAAAATGTCAAAATGTCGTTTTTTTATAACGCTTTAATTTTTTGTCGACGACATCAGAGCGAATCAATCGATTTAAAGGATTTAAAAAATATTTGATTCGTGTTGATAAATTGTCAAAGGCAGGTTTAGCGGTTTTGGAGATACAAAAAAAGTTTAAAAGGTTATCAATTTTATTTGAAAGAACTGATCATCCCAATAGAATGTTTAAAAAAAATATTTTGCTTTTGTTGACGGTGTGAAACAATGATTAGTTTCAAATTAACAGTTTTTGTTATTATCTCATTGTTATTTCTCATTGATCAATTTTTATTGATCCATGATTACTTTTATTCGTCGAATATTTAATTACTGTTTCGATACGTTCAGATTCCCACTAGTATGTATTTCCAAAAAGAACGATGATTTACATAATGCTCACATAAGAAATACACAAATATAAACAACCAGAGAATTAGCTTGCGCGAAGTTGTTTAGATTTAATAATCTATAGTGTTGACAGACGATGTTAGATAATGTCCATAAAAGATAAAAGAGTAAAATGATAGTGCCTGTAAACCACTAATCACCTTCTTTACTCGCACATCCGTATGAAAATTAACTAAATTTTAAATAATTAAAATTTTTCCGGGGCCTCTTGCGAGGCCCCCCCTGGTCGCGAGGCCGTCGGCGGCCGCCGACACCGCCGACGCCTAGCGCCGCTACTGTTCATAATAAATGCATTTATGTTGTAAACAAGGAAGAATGTTTTATAATTTAACAATTGAAATTGTATTAAAAAATAATAAAATAAAATAAAATGGAATTTAAAAAAAAAAACAATTCCAAATAAAAACAACTTTATATGCTTTTTAAACACAACTTGAAGCTAAATATAAGCAACTAAAGCAAGAATGTAATTCTATTGTTAATGTATTAAATTTAATTTTTACGAATTGTAATTAATGACCCAAGCGTTATTACATTTCATTCAACGTAATTAAACTGTTTTACACTGGTTTTACGTACTTTTATTAGTATTTACGAGTTTGATGTAATGATAAAAATTTAATAAGTTATAAATTTGCTTGTTTATGTCAGCTCTGTTTCATCTGTCTGTTTTTTATGATTGGGATTTAAGATCAAAACGAAGTAATTATAAATAAGACTTGGTTTTAAAATCTGCAAATTATGTATACTATTAAAATCATTTAAGTACATTTGCAGTATAAAACGTGCAAACGTGCAAAACGTATTACAAGACAAAATATAAATATCGGATCTAGACCATGTAAATGTTAAAAGTGCCTAATGATAATTCATAATAACAATTTTTTGACAATATTTGTAAAAGCCCCACATATTGACGAACACTTTTTCTTGTGTCTTGTCTATGTTAATATTTGTAGACAATATCAAATAAATCAATTTGTAAATGTCACGTTAAAAGTTTTGTGCCTAAAACTAACTTCTCAAATTTCTTCATTTGAGAACATATTTCCTTCTCTTCTAAGTCATCCTATTCAAAGTATTCTAGATCGTATTCACATTGAGGTTGAGGAGAGACTTTCTTGCAGATGTGAAAAAGTGTTTCCAACCAGTGATGTGATACTAATATTTTTTTTTTGATGGAACGCTAAAATTTAAAATCCGGTTCAAAAAATTTGCTATATTTCGATAAGAACTCACAAATCTAATATATTGACTTCTTATATAATTAACTCCATTATATACAGCTAGTCTATACATTTAATTGTACAAGTATGAGGGAATCATTGAGTACATAATTTATATTCTTTAATAACATTAATTATATTTATTGTCGTATTTGTATTCCTTAATACTTACAGGCATTTATTATGATATAAAAGTACTCAAGATTTATTACAATACTTTATAAGACTTAACCTAATAATATGATAGATAACCTATTACCTATCTTACTATACTATATTATTGTATATCATAGGTGGATATCTATTATCAATCATACCGTGAGATACCTATACCGTCATTAACTTATTATATACCTACATACTTTTTACTTCTTATCAATATTACTTCCTAATTTATATATTTACCTATATTATATAGGTTTACCTTACGCCCTATGTATTATCTCTAACTATCTATTATCTATACCGGGATTTGAACCCGGGACTTCCGCGTGGCAGTCGCGCACCTTAACCACTACCCTATCGGGTACCCCCAGTAATAATATAATATGGGACGCACTGTTGTTTCCGCGATCATTTTCTTATTAATTAGTTAATTAATATTAAGGTGGCGCGACGACACGCGAAAAAAGACGGTTGATTGTAGCGTTACGGTGGTCTAGTGGCTAAGGTCGTCGTCTGCCACGCGGCGGACCCGGGATCGATTCCCGGTAGGGTTAATGTAGCGTGTAAGGAAAACTATAGGTAATAGGATATATAGTAGATATAGGTCTAGGTGTATTCGGTATACAATGTAGGGATTTGAGAGTATATGATGAAATATAGCGTAGGCGTGTAGTATAGAATGTAACGAATATTCATACGTAAGGCTATAAAAATATACGAAAGGAACCTATGATGTATGTGTTCCTAGTCACCCCTGTTACAGATAAACCATAGATCCTCTATATAATAATATAATAGTACTATATGCTATAAAAATGGTTTGTAATATTATTCAAAAATTTTTACGCGATTATTTTTATTGCAATGATCAATTAAATATCTAATATCAAATAATCAAATATATATGAAAATAAAAACCAGAAATTGTATGGTTTGAGTAATAATTGATATTTTATTTTATTATTTTATATTTTTATCATAATTAGTAATTAGTGCGTTTACAAAATGAATTCTTTGCAATTTTATTTTTAAAAAGCGTATTATTTTCACTCATAGTGTACTTGAAAATGTTAATTATGCGTATATGTCTTGCAACTCGAAAATAACTCAAGAGTTTCACTTCAACGATGAGCATATGATAAAATTCAAAGCAAAACATATGGCTTTTTAAGTCGTTTTATTTTAGTTTGTCCTATCCTATATTGCTATATATAGAGATACTTGTACATAAACTTATACATATGCATTAAATATTTCAGTTGCATTGGCTTACACTATAGTAGATTTTTCTTTAAAAATTATTGGTAGATTAGAAAGATCTATACTAGGGGAAGTGTGGACGAAATGACATGTTTTGTTTTTATATCATATCTTATTTCATATTTTTTTATTTAATGATATTATAACCAGTCTTAATAGTTTTCACTCATTATTGGTTCATTGAATATAAGTATCATAGTCCTTTAATTAAGTAGGAATTATAATACTTTATTTATTCAAGAAAAATGCATCTAGTTACAAAAACCATTCAGTACGGACAATCACTTTTGTACGAAAGATAATCACCTTTGACAAGTTTAAATTTTCTTTTTTTGGCATCGACTGAACTGCCTTGTAGTGCTTACGAAATAGTACGAAATAGCCCATCTCGGGCACTGCGGTGTGAATTTTGTCTTTAGTATATCATTTTGTCTGAACGTGAAGAAAAATGAATAAATAATTAAAATTTTATCAAATACCTGATTATTGTAATAAAATTGAATGAGAAGAATAAGAAATACACCCTCAAAATAAAGTTTTGAATGCGCGATACGCGTTTGAACTGTTTACTACCACAAGACACAATGACGCTCAAACATCTGACAGGATTGCGATTATTGTTAGTACTAAAATTTTAAGTTATTTTAGTAGTATTTTTGGCCTTTTTCTTTGCTATATGGCCTTTTTTTTAATATTTAAAACGACCGAGCGCTTTTAAATATGGCAAAGCTTTAATTTGTGAATTAAGCTGTAGTGAAGATGAGTTTCAAATAGACTTTCATGCAGGCAAATTTTACGAAATTACTATTCGCACCGATGATAGTGATGAATGTGATGATGATATTATCCAACCAACAAAAAGAAGTTCGACAAAATAAATGAAGAGCGGGAAGACATTAGCGAATGTGCCGATTCTCCTTCAATAATCGAGTTTGACATACATCAACAAACACCCCGACTACAAATACCAAGCAATATAAGACATCCAATAGATTATTTTACTTTATATTTTATAAATGAATTATTAGACAATATAATAGAAAAAATAAACCGTTATGGCAGCATAAAAATGACCAAATATACTGACTAATCAGTAGCATATTCTAAATGCGAGTGAAAGAAAAAGGGATTGTATTGCCTGTCTAAGGAGGCAGGCTGCGAACAACATTTTATTGTAAAACATGTCAAAATCAACCAGCCAAAACAATGGAAATTGTTTTGAACATCAGCATTCTTTATAAAATGATCAAAAATAAATTAATATTATAAATATATGTCCTTCAATGACCACAAATTTTTCAATCAAAATCAAGTTTACAGCCGGTAAAGTAGATTGTTTTGAAATCGGTGTTGTCGCGAAAGTGTTAATAAAGCCATCGTGTTATTTTGTTCAGATAATAATAATGGCTAGTACTGCCCAAGGGTGAGCTGTGTTGTACTCTAACTTCATTCATTGAAGAACAGTGTGAGAAATTTTGCCCCGCAGTGTCCGAAATAGGCTCATATTTAAATGGAAACATATTTTTAATCTATATTTCCAAGTGAAAATGGACATCGCATGATATCAGGTCTCGAACTCACGACATTGTCCACCGAAAGTGGACATACATACCATTTGGTCCGAATTTCGGCTACTTCACAAGTGAATTATATATTACATATTTACATTGAGAAAAAAATAATTTCGAAGGAAATCGGGAAAAGATAGATTTTTCAAAAATAATTCTTATGTGATAAAAATAATTATATAATTTTTTAAATCCTTAGCTTGTCTTGTATATTAATAATTGTGCAAATTTATAAATGTGATCTTTGTAAATCAGGCAACTACATCGTGGACGTGGCGGTGCCTCCTGGCAGCGACCGCAGCATGCCTGCTGCTAGCGAACGAAGGCTCGGCGATGTCCTGCGAGCGAGCCCGCCTGGATTGTGCGTACCGTGACGGTTGCGCGCACGCTCTGCATCTTTACATGAGACATTGTGACCCACGATCATTACGGCGCGACGCCGATCCGCATTGTCCGCGAGAATGTCAGTACGCCCTGATAGCCTTGACCAGCACTCCGGAAGGAAAGAGACTGATGACGGTAAGTTCAGTTTCATACTATCAATAGCATTAAACTAGTGGTGCTTAGCATCGTGCCTTAGGGAACGTTCAAGTATTACGTAAGCAGATTTATTACAATTATTTACCCCCCCCCTCCCCTTTGTCAACAAAAGTAAGCAAAAGTTCTTACCCAAAATAAGCAAATCAATAACCCCCCGCCTCCCTATAGTGCTTACGTAATACTTGAATGGCCCCTTAAGGCAAATTGCTGTAACTTACCGCACCGAAAATTATTTTTTTAATATGTAGTTTAGCGGATGAACATTGGTATGGAACCCATAGAAATATAAACAAAATTTGTACTTATCCGAAAAATATCTGATAATTTGATGTGAATATGTTTTATGATCATTTTTGACCGTCAAATGGCAATTTTTCTTTTTTTTTATTGGATCTCCGAAACCGCAGAACTTGCCTTCCCAAAAATTTAACCAGTTCTTCCTTTTGTCAATACATGGCCAATACAAATAGAATTTTTTTGAATCATTCAAATCAGACACTCCGTTCTCTCAAAAATTGAATTGCCGTTTTTGCACTTTTTGCCCCATATCTTTGAAACAGCTAGACTTGCCTTTGCCAAAAACTAATCAGCACATTCCCCTATTAATATGAATTGAAAGCTTTTTGAATTATTGAATTCGAATGATCTGTGTTCCCGAAATCGTCAACGAAAATTTGTATCTGAACACACACTCACAAACACATACATTCATCTTTTCTAAGGTATGTATGCCAAAATGTTCAGAAACCTTTCAAACGTAAAGATTGTATAAAAACTTTCATCTTAGATTATTTTTAACTTCACGTAGGGTAAGTTATTGTAATGGGTCGAAAATCGGAAATGAAAATTTTTACATTTCTCGACGTTTTGAAGGTTTCTGAACATTTTGGCATACTTCAGAAATGTGTGCCAAAGTGTGTGTGTATGTGTGTGTATGTATGTATGGATACAATTTTTCGCCCACGTTTTCGGGCGTACGGATCAACCGATTTGAATGGTTCAAAAAACATTCGATTCCTATTGATAAGGAGACGTGCTGATTAGTTTTTGGTGGAGGTAAGTCTAGCCGTTCCGAAGATATGGGGCAAAAAGTGCCAAAAACGGTACCTCAGTTTTTAAGAGAACGGAGCGTCCGATTTTAATAATTCAAAAAACATTTTGATTGTATTGACAAGATGAAGAATTGATCAAATTTTCATGAGGGCAAGTCTAGCGGTTTCGGAGATCTCACAAAAAGTAAAAAAAAATGCCATTTGGCGGTCAAAAATGATCATTAGATATAAGCACATCAAATTATCAGATATTTTATAGAGATTTTAACAATAAGTATAAATTTTGTTTACATTCCTATGGGTTCCGTACCAATGTTTACCCGTTGGACAGCGACGCGGCGCTTACGCGCTTTATATTTAGTCTTTAAGCAGTTAAAGCAGTACGATTGCTTTGAAAAAAAAGTTCAGATCTTCCAAAATATGTCAAAATAAAAAAAACATTTTTTTTTCAAAAAAAAGTAATTATTTGTCCAATTTATAGTTTCTCAAAAATCTAATTTTTTCGAACAAATATTTTTTTCAAAAATGCTAATCGTTTTTAAAAAAATAATAATTTTTGGTACGGGAAGTTCCAGCAATTTGCCTTAAGGCACGATGCCTTAATTGCTTTAAGACAGAATTCCACTTACAGCTAGTTTTAGTATTACTATAACTTACTCTACGAAAAGTTAATTACCTCAATTTTATGGTCTCGTTTACAGTGTGTTTGCGATGACAATTACTGTAGGGAAAGCAAGCTTCGCCTGGACGTGTGCAGGCCGCACGTGGCTCGCTTGGGTAACGCAACCGAAGTACCATGTCGCCTAGCAGCACAAATTTGCAGCGCGGATCAACAGTGCTATACGGCTTTGCAATATTATCAGCGCCTTTGCGGAGCAATGTTTGCAGGGCGCAAGTGTACAGCACGGTGCAGGAATAGCATTGCGATTCTACGGCGGCAGGACAATGCGGCTCGACTAGCTGGCTGCAGTTGTGACGGAACTGAGGATTTTGATTGCGCTGGAATACAGGTTAGTCACGATTTATTTCAGTAATAGACTAGATGTTGAAGATGGATAAAAATATGTTATTTAATTGCAAATTAATTTAACAGTGTGAAAAAAATTCAAGTAGCCTATAATATATTAGACAGAATTACACCAAGTTGACATATTTTAAATACATTGCATTAGCAATATTTTTATGTTTGAAAGATATGTTTTAGCTAAATAAATTTTAAAAACGTGTTGTGTTGGTATATGTTCTATAATGCTTATTAATTATATTCATTCCTAATTTAAGGCCAATTGTCGGATGAATTAGAAATGTTTTTTGATGTAACTGTCCATAAAGCCTATGCTGTGCAATCATGCGTTTTGCACATAAAACCTAACCCACAAAACGCACAAACATCAAATAACAATTTATCTTAAGTGCAACTTTTTGCTAACACATACGTGCACTTAGGTTTTATTTGTAAAACGCCATATCGAAGAGCAAATACATAGCTTTTTGATAAGTCATTGGTACCATCTCATACGAATATAGACCTGCATTATCATATCATTTCTATTTTATCTGCGAATTGACTCCTAAACAAATCTTATGTTTTACTATAGGCTATACTTCTGTTATTATTTTACATGGTAACTTTTTGTTTTACAGGAAAATATGTCACGTCTTTGTTTCCACAAACACCACAAAGCCACGTCTAGTTCTACTACTCAAGTCCCAGAAACCACATATTCTAGGAACGACGAAAACAATGAAATCCAAGCATTAACATCAAGTTGTTCGAATGTTTATCAAACATTGAGCTCAGTCTTAACCGGATTAATACTTTTGAAATTCGTCGAGAGGTAATCGAGGTATTTTTAATATTAAATAAATATCTACCCGTGTTCTACGCATTTATAAAGTGAGAATGATACTGTGAAAGTAAAAGTTCATCGATACATTTGTATTAGCAAAGTTTAACAGTAAATACATTTAAAATGTTTTTATTTTACATGTTATAAGCGATAAAGCTATTATAATCTATAATAGCAGCTCAACTAAAAACCCAAGATTATTTATTTAATGGTTACTAAACTAAAGATATACTTGATATGTTGAACGTGTACAATCGCTAATTTATATTATATTTACTACGTGCGATCAAACATTTTACGTGTATTTTGTTAATTTCTGGGTCATGAATGTAATCTGAAATGTATTTATTTATTAATTATTGAAGAAAATTTGGAATATGTGAAGTGTTGACTGTTTTCTAAGTTGTTTTGTTATACGTATTATACTAGTATATATCTTTATTATATTTATATTCCCGTTCTAACTCCAACGGGAACTTTTTGTATTACGGAAATTAAAACAATTAGATGCTTTTCTGGAAGTATTGAAATGATTTAAAAAAATAAGTTTGACATAGGGATTAAATTAGGATTAATCAAGTGACAATACTATTTCAAATTAATAGAATGCCAAAAATGTGGTTTTGTACATGTATATTGAAGTAATTAGAGAATTTGTAAATTTTTAAATAGATTAAGGAAAATAAAATGACAAACAAATTCAGTGATTGATAATTAAATAATGCCGTTTTTTAAACGGAAAAACATACAAACAAGCCTGTACAAATTATATAGAAATTCGATCACATTGTATATAATTTAATTTTAGGTGCAATAAAAACTAAAACATATTTAATTCTAGATAATTAATTATTAATGTACAGAAATGTTAGTGTATATAATGGGATAGATTTAAAAAATAACCAAAGAATGTTTACAAAAATGTATATTTTTATGTAATATTTGATAAATGAAAATGTTTTTATACTATTGGTTATAAGTATAGAATAACACTTAATATATCTTTATTTTTTATATTGAGCCGATCTGTATTAGCAGAGATTATCTTGATGGATAATCAAATAAAATATAACAAATAATATGATAATTTTTAATTGAATTCGTGCATAATTTTTTTAGAACTTGGGATTTCTCTATCATTTCTTGTAAATAATTTTATAGAATTGCAAGTCCGTCTATCCATTTCGTTTTTATAGTCCATGATGTAGAAAGTACCGCGGGACCACCGTGCATGACGTGATCTTCTTCTGCATTGCCTTTATTTCTGGTTCAGAACATAACAGTAGAGATAAAAATAGAATCAAAATAAGATAATATGTATGAGAGCAAGAGCAAAATATAACTTTAGATACATACTCGATCGTCATAAATGGATTTCTATTGCTGTGAATACAATCCGTTTTTATTTTATGTCCCATTTGACATGGGAATAAAGTAGACATTTGACTTCATATGCCAATAACTCCACACACATTTCATACAAATAAAGTCGTCCTGATACGTGATCTATAGGAACAAATTATTGACGTGACACTGAAAAGCAAAACTACTTCCGTATTCATTTTTGCATAATGTGCAACTCAACATTTTTTTTAAAAGTATTTGATACTATGAACTACCACATCTAATTTCCATATCAATTCTTCTTATTAATAATAATTATTATTAATACAGCTATGCGATGATACATGATAAACAACCGATGTATCTAAAAAACCAATAAAAATCCTCTAAATCTTTTTCCAATGATGGAAAACTTTCTAATAAATTTAATTACATTTAATTGTTTGAAAGAAGTCTTCTGAATAATTTTATATATTAATAAATTTAAGTTTATTATTTTTATTTTATTCTATTTAACATTAAGTATATTAATTTTGCACTATACTTAGTTTTTATTAAATTTTAAACATAATATATGATGAAATGCGAACTTATTAATTATATAAATTATTTATTAGTTAAACATAATAAATGATGAAGTTCGAACACATTCAGGCAATTACAAAAGCGGCCTCGAGGATCATTCTTACTCACTTGGACAGACAATTACGCCACAACAATACTAGGGTAAGATTGAAAAAGAAATTCATGTTACATTAAAATTTCAATTCAAAATCAATAGTCATGTTTCAAATTTTTGTCCTAGTTTTACTTGTTGTACATTTCAGGACAGGTGTAAAAATTACTATATAATAGCAAAAACAAAATGAATTCCATTTGCAAGTAATTATTGGGTGATACGAAAACTTGAAATAAAATAAGTCTTATGTTATTTATTATAAATAATTAATGGTCCGTTTGCTCACAACATGAATGTAGCATTCATCGAAGTTGTAAGACTAAAAATGCTAGAAAATTTTGATTTTATTTAAATTTTTTGTTAATCATTTTAGTCACAGAATGGATCAATCTTATTTCAATGAGTTGAAAAGAATAAAGTTGTGAACGATTTTTTGACAATTCAGGTCTATAAGTTTTGGAATGCTTACGCTAATAATGTTTGCCTATTATTTTAACAAAATAATAACATTATAAAAGTGGACCGCATTTTGGCAGCATTGTCATTAGTTTATCAACGTGCGGACATTTTTGATGTATTCATCTCTCTTTCTCTATACGACTTATGAATCTTGTCGCACAGGTAGATATTTTCTTCTTTGTCTAGCGCGCGACCACCCAACGTGACCACGCCCCCTCACATGAAATCCACCAGCGGAGTCGGAAATACCAACATGCAGCAGTTGCTGCTCACTATTTACCAGTTTCACAGGAAAATTGACATTGTTGTGAATAGAAAAAAAATACAATTTACAAATTATGATAAAAATACTTTTAAATTTAAACCACCGATTGACCACTAATAAGTAAGTTTTGATCATAAAATGTACACTGTTATAATCTAATCTAATCTAAATCTATTCTGTGAAATTTTAGGTACCAATATAATTTTTTATCACTACAAACAGGTATTGGTCACTTAATATTTACTGTTGCTGATTGTTTTAAAATAATATTATTTAAACCATTAGGTACGGCGCCTACTATCCACGAAACGTTCATAGACAATTACTGTGGTGACACCTCGAAATACTGTCACGAATAAGTGACGCTCGAATCACGTCCGTCACCTAATGGTGACGCTCGGCTGTGTGGGGCAATTTGCGGCAAGTAAACTATAATATACTTTCTATAACATTAATTTATCAAAATATTGTAGCCGATTTTGCCGTATAATAAACCATTGTTATGTCAAGGCTATGGGATCGTTCAAGTATTACGTAAGCAGATTTATTACAATTATTTATCCCCCTATCCCCCTTGTCAGCAAAAGTAAGCAAAACTCTTACCCCCTACCCCCATGCTTACGTAAACATTTTGCAATTAATGTGAAAAAATAAAAATACTACCTATGACGTAATCATCATCCAGACTCACCTGCCCCCCATGTCAACTCAAAACAAGCAAATCAACAACCCCCCCCCGCCTCCCTATAGTGCTTACGTAATACTTGAACGGCCCTTATGTTCTATAGCAGTTTTCATACAAAATGGTACTAAAAACTGCCAAAAGCCATGTGGTTGCTCTGCAGTCAGGCCTTTAACTAGAAAACTTAACCTATGAGTGAAGTTGTATTGTATGCCAAATGTAAATTGCCAAATTCCAGCAGATACATGAAATTTCTACAGTATTTAGTACCACTATGTATGGAAACTAACATAGCCTTGTCATATCATTTTATGGCAGAATCGGTTCCTTAATATTGTAATGTAATAAAGTAATAAGTATCTATGGGGAGCCCCAACGTGCAGTTTTATGCATATTTATTTTGTGAGAAATCTTTAGCCTTTTTATTTATGGGGACAACTAAAGAAATTTGTATATAAATTAAATTCGAAGTATTAGTAGTTTTGTATGATTATAATAAATTGTAGATTTTATCGGAATCGTAACGTGCCTTAACGAGACGCCGTACAAAATTTGTTTGGGAATAATTTATTATAATCATACAAAAATACTAATACTTCGAATTTAATTTATATAAATTTGGTGTTTCTACAAATTTCTTTAGTTTCCAGTATCTATAGCAAAGTTTTGAAGGTCAAAATAATACAGTAGAATCCGCTTAGTATGACATCGAAGGGACGCCGAAATCTAGTCATTATAACCGGTCGTCATACAAAGCATACTGAAAAAAAACTTTTTATGTAAATATGTTACATGTTTCAGTAATTTAAAAGAAAAGCCTATACATACATTTTAATTAAAAACTAGCTGTAAGTGGAATTCTGTCTTAAGGCAATTAGGGCATCGTGCCTTAAGGCAAATTGCTGGAACTTCCCGTACCAAAGATTATTATTTTTTTAAAAACGATTAACATTTTTGAAAAAAATTTACTTAAAAAAAAATAGATTTTTGAGAAACTATAAATTTGACAAAAAAATACCTTTTTTTGAAAAAAAAAATTTTTTTATTTGAAAAAAAAATTTTTTTTTGAGAAAAAAATTTTTTTTTGAAGACAAAAAATTTTTTTGAAAAAAAATGTTTTCTTCATTTTGACATATTTTGAAAATTCTGAACTTTTTCTCAAAGCAATCGCACTGCTTGAACTGCATAGAGACGAAATGTCAAAGCTCGCAGGTGCCGCGCCGCCGTCTAACGCATGAGCATTGGTACGGAACCCACAGAAATGTAAAAAAAAATATACTTATTGTTAAAATCTCTATAAAATATCTGACAATTTGATGTGCATATGTCTAATGATCATTTTTAACCGCCAAATGGCATTTTTTTTTACTTTTTTCATTAGATCTCCGAAACCGCTAGACCTGCCTTCATGAAAATTGTGTGTGTGTGTATGTATGTATGTATGTATGTATAAATGTATGTATGTATGTATGTATGTATGTATGTATGTATGTATGTGTGTGTATGTATGTGCGGATACAAATTTTCGTCGACGATTTCAGGAACACGGGTCAACCGATTTGAATAATTCAAAAAACATTCGATTTGTATTGATAAGGAGACGTGCTGATTAGTTTTTGGCGAAGGCAGGTCTAGCCATTCCAAAGATACGGGGCAAAAAGTGCCGAAAACCGTAGCTCAGTTTTTGAGAGAACGGAGCGTCCGATTTGAATAATTCAAAAAACATTTCACTTGTATTGACAAGATGAAGAATCGATAAAATTTTCATGAAGGTAGGTCTAGCGGATTCGGAGATATGGAGGAAAAAGTAAAAAAATGAGCCATTTGGCGGTCAAAAATGATCATTAGACATATGCTCATAAAATTATCAGATATTTTATAGAGATTTTAACAATAAGTATACAATTTGTTAACATTCCTATGGGTTCCGTACCAATGCTTATGCTTTAGACAGCGACGCGGGGCTTACGCGCTTTATATTTTGTCTCTATGCAGTTAAAGCAGTACGATTGATTGCTTTGAAAAGAAAGTTCAGATCTTCCACAATATGTCAGAATAAAAAAAAAATTTTTTTCAAAAAAAAAAAATTAAAAAAAAAATTTTTTTTAAAAAAAAAGTAATTTTTTGTCCAATTTATAGTTTCTCAAAAATCTTATTTCTTCAAAGTAATTTTTTTTTCAAAAATGTTAATCGTTTTTAAAAAAATAATAATTTTTGATACGGGAAGTTCCAGCAATTTGCCTTAAGGCACGATGCCTTAATTGCCTTAAGACAGAATTCCACTTACAGCTAGTTTTTTTATATTTGCAGGGGGGCGCGATGCAAAAAAGGTTGGAAACCGCTGATGTAAGCGATGTCAATATATCCAACTAGTCAGCTGTTTTTTTAAGGAATTTTATATGGAAACCAAACTTCCTAGTGCGATTACGTCATTATAAGCGGTTGTCAATATATCCGGCATATCATACTAATCGGATTCTACTGTATTTGAAAACGCTTCATACATACTTTTCTGTTATGTGTGGCTTTATATTTAGTTTTCGAAATGAAGTTTAGAACAGATACATGGTCAATGTGTTCTTTTCCTCGCTGACCGTGCGCAATGATTTCACCATAGATGGCACAATATATCTATCAAGAAATTTATTTGCAAAACTAGTGTAACAAAATCAAAAACACGAAATTGTTAGTTTTACAATAATTCTTAACAGAAACTACGAATTTTTATAAATTAGCAAAAGGTGTGTAAATGACCTTGGAACTGTATGACTCATAAAAAGGTGAGTCCGAATATGTCGGTAATGCAGTTTGGAACGAATTGTCCATAGCAGAAGCAGGCCATTTTATCGATTTGCTTGTTTTCGTGTGCATTTTTGACGTTTCATATTTTTCGAAAACGCCCATAAGTATTAAAACTTAAAATGGTAAGATGTCATTGAAAATGCAACTTAATATTAATAAATTCTATTTAATGTTCGATGTTATAATATGGTCTATGTTTTATTTGTAGGCCAGTTACAGTGAAGATCAATTGGCAGGTGAGGAAAGTTCATTTTGTACTTATAAATCAAGTTCCACAATTTTAGCTTTCATCTTATTTTAAATGCACTTTCAATATTATGAAATTTTTATTCTGCACAATGTTTATTAAAGTAGGTATTATGATGACAAAGAAATAACTTTCTCAAATCTGTATGAGTCACGCCACATTCATCACATATTCCAGTTACGAGTTAACCATTTATGAATTAATATTTTAATTTTATGAATAATATTTTTTATGACATTTAATTAATTTAATTTATAAGTGACTGTATATGTATAAAATGCGTATACATAAAAATCTTATGCTTGGTTTTCAATTTTCAGAGTTCCAAGAAGCCTTTCAACTATTTGATTCTCGGGGTGATGGTAAAATAGATGTTAGCTTGGTTGGAGATGCTTTGAGAGCTCTTGGTCAAAATCCTACTGAAACTGAAGTCAAAAAGTTCACCCATCAACTTAAACATGATGACCGCATTTCTTTTGAAGTATTTCTACCCATATATCAGGTATTCTTTTTTCATATTTCAATACTGCAATTTAGGAATGTTCTGTCAAAAAATACTTTACAATATGTGATAAAAGAGCCTTAGTAATGTCGACATAGTTCTTTCTTTTATAATATTTAAATTAACTTATTCAAGGCTATCTCAAAAGGGCGCTCAGCAGATACGGCTGAAGATTTTATTGAAGGTTTGAGGCACTTTGATAAAGATGGGAACGGTTTTATAAGTTGTGCCGAATTAAGACATTTGCTTTGTACTTTGGGGGAAAAACTTACTGATGAGGAGGTATCTATATTTAATATTATTTATTCTTTAGTTATTTTTTATACTTATAAGTAAGATTTATAATAGGTCGAGCAATTGCTTCAAAACCAAGAAGATTCTCAAGGCAACATCAATTATGAAGAATTTGTAAGAATGGTCATGTGCGGATGAATACATAAAATTGAAAGTATTTTAAATAAGCATTCATTCAATTTGTTAAGAAATGAAATGAAATTATAATATCGATTTTTTATATTCCTGTATAATATATAATTTTTATAGCCAGTATTAAATTTTATAATTTAGACAAAAAGGTGTGCTTAGTAAATATTTATACTTACTTACATAAATTATTCCTCGAAGTAGAATGTTTGTTGATACTTGTTTGAATATTTTGAATGCACAAGGTAAGGCAAAATAATTTTTGGTCCTACAAACTTAAACTTCTCATCCTCTATATAACTATGTAACTTATTTTATCAATAAATGTTCAAAATTATGAATCGATATATTCATAACTCAAAAAGTCTAAATCTTTTTTGTTTAGTTTTAAACACTCTTTTAATACTCTCTTAATTTAATATTTAACTTATTGTTAGAAGGCTTCCTGAATCTTGTTTCATTAATGTATTAATGAACGTAAACAAATGTTTTTAATTATTATCACAACAAAAAAATAATAATTTTGGCTTATATATATTTTCTGGCTTATAGAATAAAAAAGCGACTCTACTGACCAGCTGAAATAGAAGATAGTAAATATAAAAATGATTCATCTGACGAGCAAAATAAAGTACAAGACATTTCATAAAAAATTAACTCTACTGACGAGCAAAATACAAGACAGTAGAGAGAAGGGTGAAAGTTGAATTTCATATGTATAGACATTTTTGTTTTCAATATTCATTTATATTAAGTTGTCAATCATTTAGTAATTGATCTTTTTTCATCGGCGCCGTCCTTAATTGTAATTAAAAATGTCAAATTCTATTTATTCTATTTATCTTAATTTATCATAACTATTATTTGTGCCCATAATTATGAAAGTGGTCTAAGTCATATATTTCTTGTTTCAAGATATTTAATGAATTGCATTTGAATAAATTAAAAAATATTTTTACATTATGCGACATTTTAATTTTTAATTTTATTAATCTTTATTAATGGAAATTTATTATAAATATGAAATTTTGTGTGAATTTCATACGATAATATTGTTTTTATAGTTTGAATTGACTTGGACCATTTTCAAAATTAACTGAATCTCCTATAAATGACTTAAAGCGATAAAGAACTTTGAGTTTTATTTGAAGCAATAAATTTATTGAAATGATTTGTGAGAATTTATTAATTATTTTTAAACTGTAATCCATTTTTATCATTATTTCGAGTATTTAAGATTCTTAAAATGTTCCTGAAAAACTGGAGGGATGTACGGTAGTAAACTCATAATATATTTATGTTTTTCTTTCGATACTGGTCTAATCCTGGTGTAATTTTTTTGAGCAAAATTTTTTTCCAAAAATTTTTTTGACCAAAACTTTTTGACCAAAATTTTTTTGACCAAAATTTTACTTGTCCGAAAATTTTTTTGACCAAAATTTTTTTCCCCAAATTTTGTTGACCAAAATTTTTTTCTCCAAATTTTTTTCGACCAAAAGCTTTTTGACCAAAAATTTTTTTGTCCAAAATTTTTTGACCAAAATTTTTTTGTCCAAAATTTTTTGACCAAAATTTTTTTGACCAAAAATTTTTTGATCAAAATTTTTTTGACCAAAATTTATTTTTTCCAAAATTTTTTTGACTAAAATTTTTTTGACCAAAATTTTTTTGACCAAATTTTTTTTGACCAAAATTTTTTAAATCAAAATTTTTTTGACTAAAACTTTTTGACCAACATTTTTTTGACCAAAAATTTTTTTCCCTAAATTTTTTGGACCAAAATTTTTTTTTCTAAAAAATTTCCCAAAATTTTTTTGAATTAAATTTTTTTGACCAAAAATTTTTTTTGACCAAAAATTTTTTTGACCAAAACTTTTTGACCAAAATTTTTTTGACAAACTTTTTGTCCAAAAATTTTTTGACCAAATTTTTTTTTTTGACCAAAATTTTTTGGGTCAAAATTTTTTTTCCAAAATTTTTTGGGCCAATTTTTTTGGGTCGTGCCAAAATTTTTTGTGCCAATTTTTTTTTCCCGAATTTTTTTGTTTAAAAATTTTGGGGCCGATATGTTTTGGGTCAAAATTTTTTGACCAAATTTTTTTGACCAAAATTTTTTTGACCAAAATTTTTTTGGTTCAAAATGTTTTTGAACAAAATTTTTTGGGCCAAAATTTTTTGGCTCAAAATTTTTTTGACCGAAAATTTTTTTTTGACCAAAAATTTTTTTTTCCCAAATCTTTTTGTCAAAATTTTTTGGGTCAAAATTTTTTGGGCCGAAATTTTTTGGGTCAAAATTTTTTGGGCCAATTTTTTTGGGTCGAAATTTTTTTGACCAATAATTTTTTAACCAAATTTTTTTGGACCAAATTTTTTTTGACCAAAATTTTTTCGACCAAATTTTTTTGGGCCAAAATTTTTTTGACCAAAATTTTTTTGGGCCAAAGTTTTCTTGACTAAAATTTTTTGGGCCAATTTTTTTGACCAAAAATTTTTTGGGTCAAAATTTTTTTGACCAAAATTTTTTGGGTCAAAATTTTTTTGACCAAATTTTTTTTTCGACCAAAATTTTTTGGGCCAAATTTTTTGACCAAAAATTTTTTGGGTCAAAATTTTTTTGGACCAAATTTTTTTTGACCAAAATTTTTTGGGTCAAAATTTTTTTTCCTAAAATTTTTTGGGCCAATTTTTTGGGCCGAAATTTTTTTGACCAATAATTTTTTGATCAAATTTTTTTGGGCCAAAATTTTTTTGAAAAATTTTTTGACCAAATTTTTTTGACCGAAATTTTTTTGGGCCAAAATTTTTTTGACCAAAATTTTTTTCCCCAAATTTTTTTGTCAAAATTTTTTGGGCCGAAATTTTATGGGTCAAAATTTTTTGGGCCAATTTTTTTGGGTCAAAATTTTTTTGACCAAAAATTTTTTGGGTCAAATTTTTTTTGACCAAAGTTTTTTTGACCAAATTTTTTAGGGCCAAATTTTTTTTGACCAAAATTTTTTTGGGCCAATTTTTTTCCCCGAATTTTTTTGACTAAAAATTTTTTGGGTCAAGATTTTTTTGACCAACATTTTTTGGGTCAAAATTTTTTTGACCAAAAATTTTTTTTTGACCAAAATTTTTTTTTCCCAAATTTTTTTGTCAATTTTTTTTGTCAAAATTTTTTGGGCCAAAATTTTTTGGGCCGAATTTTTTTGGGTCAAAATTTTTTTGATCAAAAATTTTGGGGTCAAAATTTTTTTGACCAAAATTTTTTGGGCCAATTTTTTTGGGTCAAAATTTTTTTGACCAATTTTTTGACCAAAATTTTTTTTTGACCAAAATTTTTTGGGTCAAAATTTTTTTGACCAAATTTTTTTTTCCCAAAATTTTTTTGAATTAAATTTTTTTGACCAAAATTTTTTGTTTAAAAATTTTTTGGGCCAAAATTTTTTCGAACAAAATTTTTTGGGCCAAAATTTTTTGGGTCAAAATTTTTTTGACCAAAATTTTTTTTTTTAACCAAACATTTTTTTTCCCAAATTTTTTTGTCAAAATTTTTTGGGTCAAAATATTTTGGGTCAAAATTTTTGGGGCCAATTTTTTTGGGTCGAAATTTTTTTGACCAAAAATTTTTTGGGCCAATTTTTTTGACCAAAAATTTTTTGGGTCAAAATTTTTTTGACCAAAATTTTTTTGACCAATTTGTTTTTTGACCAAAATTTTTTGGGTCAAATTTTTTTTCCTAAAATTTTTTGGGTCGATTTTTTTTTGGGCCAAAATTTTTTTGTGCCAAAATTCTTTCGACCAAAATTTTTTGGGCCAATTTTTTTTCCCGAATTTTTTTGACCAAAATTTTTTTGGTTCAAAATGTTTTTGAACAAAATTTTTTGGGCCAAAATTTTTTGGGTCAAAATTTTTTTGACCGAAAATTTTTTTTTGACCAAAAATTTTTTTTTCCCAAATCTTTTTGTCAAAAATTTTTGGGTCAAAATTTTTTGGGCCGAATTTTTTTGGGTCAAATTTTTTGGGCCAATTTTTTTGGGTCGAAATTTTTTTGACAATAATTTTTTAACCAAATTTTTTTGGACCAATTTTTTTTGACCCAAATTTTTTCGACCAAATTTTTTTGGGCCAAAATTTTTTGACCAAATTTTTTTAGGCCAAAGTTTTCTTGACTAAAATTTTTTGGGCCAATTTTTTTGACCAAAAATTTTTTGGGTCAAAATTTTTTTGACCAAAATTTTTTGGGTCAAAATTTTTTTGACCAAATTTTTTTTTTGACCAAAATTTTTTGGGCCAAATTTTTTGACCAAAAATTTTGGGCCAAAATTTTTTTGACCAAAATTTTTTTCCCCAAATTTTTTTGTCAAAATTTTTGGGCCGAAATTTTTTGGGTTCAAATTTTTTTGGGCCCAATTTTTTTGGGTCAAAATTTTTTGACCAAAAATTTTTTGGGTCAAAATTTTTTTGACCAAAGTTTTTTTGACCAAATTTTTTAGGGCCAAAATTTTTTTGACCAAA